CGTCTGCATCCTGCCTGCATCCCATCCCCAGTCCCGCCTGCATCCTGTCTCCATCCCGCTTGAATCCCGTTCCCAATCCTGCCTGCATCCCATCCCAGCTGCCCACCTCGGTTCCCATCCTGGCTCCCCCCACATCCCATCCCAGTTCCCGCTCCGGCTCCCATCCCGGTCCCTGTCCCAGCGTCCCCGTCCCGCCGTGGTCCCGGTGCGGCTCCCACCTCTCACGGCGGTGCCGGCGCTGCCCTTGGGGATGTTGGTGGCCAGCGCCAGCTCGGCCACGTTGACCTCGCGCTCCTCGGCCGAGTAGAGCTCGGCCTCCTTGAGCGGCCGCAGCGGCAGCGCCTCGGGGCAGCCGTGTCCGCACACGGCCTGCGGGGCCGTTACCGCCGGCACCGGCACCGGGATCGGGACCGGCACCGGGATCGGGACTGGGACTGGAACTGGGATCGGGACTGGGACCGGGACCGGGACCGGCCCGGCAACCGGCACCGGGATCGGGACTGGGACCGGGACCGGCCCGGCACCAGGACCAGCAGTGGGACGGGAACCGGCACCGGGATCGGGACTGGGACCGGCACTGCGATCGGGACTGGGACCGGGACCGGCCCGGCACCAGGACTGGCACCGGGACTGGAACTGGCACCGGGATCGGGACTAAGACCGGAACCGGGACTGGGACTGGGACCAACCCGGCACCGGGACCGACACTGGGACCGGAACCGGCACTGGTATCGGGACTGGGACCAGCACCGGGACTGGACTGGGACCGGGATCGGGACTGGGACCGGGATCGGGACTGGGACCAGCACCGGGACTGGAACCGGTACCGGTACCGGACTGGCACCGGGATCGGGACTGGGACCAGCACCGAGACTGGAACTGGCACCGGGACTGGGACCGGGACCAGCCCGGCACCGGGACCGACACTGGGACCGGAACTGGCACCGGGATTGGGACTGGGACTGGAACTGGGATCGGGACTGGGACCAGAACCGGCACTGGGATTGGGACTGGCACCGGGATCGGGACTGGGACTGGAAGCAGGATTGGGACTAGGACTGGGACCGGCCCGGCACTAGGACCGGCACCAGGACTGGAACCGGCACGGGGACTGGAACTGGCACTAGGATCGGAACTAGGACTGGAACCGGGACTGGGACCGGGACCAGCCCGGCACCGGGACCGACAATGGGACCGGAACCAGCACCGGTATCGGGACTGGGACCAGCACCGGGACTGGACTGGGACTGGGATTGGGACTGGGACCAGCACCGGGACTGCAACCAGCACCGGGACCGGGACAGGGACCGGGACTGGCCTGGCACCGGGATCGGGACTGGGACCGGCACTGGGACTGGAACCGGGACCGGGACAGGGACCGGGACTGGCCTGGCACCGGGATCGGGACTGGGACCAGCACTGGGACTGGAACCGGGACCGGGACAGGGACCGGGACCAGCCTGGCACCAGGATCGGGACTGGGACCAGCACCGGGACTGGGACCGGCGCCGGGACCGGCAGCAGCACCGGAACCGGCACTGGGACTGGAACCGGGACCGGGACTGGGACCGGGACTGGCACCGGGACCGGCACCGGGACCGGCACCGCCGCCCCACGCACCTGCACGTTGCTCCAGCGCAGCGCCCGGTTGAAGTCCTCGCCCGTGAGGCGCCGCCGCCGCGTGTGCT